TTCTTTTGGTTCACTTTCCACTTTTTTTTTTTGATTTGCAGTAGGCATTTGCTCTGTGCCTCCACTATGGTGTCCTCAATAAGTTCCCATGCTGCTTTCAAGTTCCTCACCTCCTCAGGGGCCTCTTTAACTTCTAACCAGCTACCTCATTTTCATGTAGTCTCCCTTTTTAAAGTTAAAGGTTGCTGTGGTACATTTTCTCCTCTTCCCTCCTACATGGATATCAAACCCAACTGCACTGTGGTCACTATGATTGAGAGGCTCGTAACACTTACCTTTTGCACCAAATCCTGTGCGTTATTTAGGTCAAGAACGGGCTTTCCTCTTGTAGGTTCCAAGACTAACTGCTCCAGGAAGCAGTCTTCTATGACATCCAAAAATTTGGTCTCTGTATCCCAGCCTGATGTTAGATTGACTCAGTCTTTGTGGAGAGCTGAAATCCCTCACTTTTATTGTGTTATCTGCTCTAGCAGCCTCTCTTAACTCCCTTAGCATTTCTAGCTCACTGCTGCCGTCCTGGTCTGGGAATCAATAGTTTATTTCTAGACATACTTGTTTCTACTGAAACCTGAGACTTCTATCCACAAAGATTCTATGGTACCTCACTTATCAGTTGAAAAATCTATTCTACTTTGATGCAGAGTGCCAGTCTTCCTGGAGGTGCATCAATATATTGGTCCCATATCGGATAGGCACTGATATAAGGAAAATTGACAGTACCAGCAATTGGCTTTTTTTTGGCCGATGAGGCCGATAATGCCTCGTGTGTGCATGCAGCCACAGTGCAGCACACATGTGGTCAGGAGCACAACCTGACAGCATGGAGAGCAGCATCCAGCTCGTAAGGCTGTTGTGGGGGAAAGAGTGTGGGGAGGGAAGGGGCGTGGGGGGTACAGCTCAAGGCTCCCACTGTAAGGGAGGGAGTGGGGCTGGGCTGGGGCAGGGGCTGCCAAGTCAGGGCAGGGCAGAGGATGGAGCCATGGCTTGTCCAGGGGGATGGGGAGGGGCCGACTCCTATTGCTCCACGCAACCCAGGAGGGCATAGAGGGCATGTACCCCCCAGATCTGTGCACAGGGCAAGGGCAGGTTGCCACTGTGGGCTGGGGCCGGGGCTGTGCTAAGCTCTTCCCAGTGGCTTGGGGCGGGTGGTGGCAGTGCTGGGAGTGGAGCCTACGGCAAATTTTTGGGTGGCTGCAGTCCCACCCCATAACCCTGCCCCCCACCCCAAGCATAGCCCTGCCAACCCCCCCATCAGGAAGAGCTCGGCCCAGTCCACAGGCTGCAGTGGCAGCCCACCCTTGCCCCACACACAGATCCAGGGGGGAGGGGCACATGCCCTCCCAGCGGGCATGCAGAGGCGGGAGCTGCCCCTCTTCTCTGTGCCCCCCAAAGATGAGCCGTGGCTCTGTCCCACACCCTGCCCCATCTCAGCCCCAGCCCCACTCCTTCTCTCACCTCAGGGACCTCAATCTGCGCCCCCCTCCACAGCCCTTTCCTCCTTCCACCCCTTTCTCCACAACAGACTTACCAGCCAGACGTTGGTCTCCAAGCTGCTGGGCTGCATATTGGCAATTGGATTGGTATCAGCCAATATGATTCGTTAAAAATGGGCCATCGGTATCAGCCCAAGAAATCTCTACCGGTGCACCCCTAATTCTTCCACCAGCACAACCTACTCTGTCATTTCTGTGTAATTTGTATTCTGGTATTACAGCATCCCATTCATTTTCCTCATTCTGCCATGTTTCAAGATACCTATTATGTCAATATCATTATTTACTGCTATGCATTCAAGTTCCCCCAGCTTTGATCTTAGACTTTTAGCATTAGTGTAAAAGCATATGTACTTTTTGTTATTGCCTGGTTAACTACTTCTGTGTGACCTTTTACTCACTAAAGGTATTTGCTTGTGTTTGTCTTTACCCTATTTCTTATCCCCATTTTTTATGGTTTCACCCCCATAAGGCATGTCAATTAAAACTGCATGCTGTTCTGCACCTGTAAGCTTCCCCACCCCATTTTAATTTAAAAGCTAATCTCTCATTCATATCATATACTACATCCTTCCTTGTTCTTTAAAGCAACATTTTTTATATGCAAAAAACTGGTACAGTGGAACAGCAGCTCACCTGATCTGTCTAGTTAAGTATACTTTGGCACATCTGATAGCAGTTATAACCAGAGCCTTCACAAAAAGATGAAAAAAATTTAAATAGGTAGTTTGCCCATTAGGAAAATTCTTCCTAATATTTATCAGTTAGTATTGTAAACATATAAAAACTGACCTCTAAGATTTTATTTTTTCCAGACTCTCCCTTTTAAAATATTTATTATTGCATTCCTGGATGTCCTTGTTATCTAGTTAAGCATCTGATTGCTTTTTGAACTCCAAGAATAAATGCTGTTCTAACCAAGGATCTTTACTGGCAGGTTTTCTACAGTTCCATATGTCACAGATACTGAGCTAACTGCACTTCTTATTTGCTCTGGTCTCAAGTACATCCCTCCTCAACCCTTCAGGCCTGTAGCTATCATCTGTTATACTCTCAGATCAGGCCTTGGGTTTGTAATCCCCTGCCACTGTGATTTATTTCAAACAGGTCTATCTTAGGCTCAGACCCTTAAGTTTTGTTCCCACTGGGCATTACGAGAGCAGCATGCGGTAAACAAACTACACAGCTTTGTTTAGAAGCAAAGCCCAAGAGAGGACAAAATATATCAGTCTATACTTCTGCCTGTATCTCTCCGAGACTCGCCATGCTCTGGAAGCTGGGGGAGATAACTGCTTTCACATACTTCTTTCATACCCATTATTCTGTTCCATCTCAGTTCAGGACCTGACAAGTAATCCTTACCTTTCTTTTACTTTAAACAATATTCTTTTGATCATTTAGCTTCTAGCCTGGCAAAGTAAGGATTAAGACAAGATATAGTATCCCCAGAAGTTAAATAATTCCTCACTTTCCTGTAATTGGTTTCCAAAACTTTGTTTGGCGTCTCCTTACCGAGATTCACTGTGCTGCTTCCTTGTTTGTTTATCCAACAGCCCACTATTAAGTTAGAGCTATACACCCATACTAAAAATTGTAACCATCCATCTTATGTTTACTGCCTCTCTAATCAGGTCAGTGGCATATCAGTGTTCTTACATTATGCAGCAGCCCCTTATCCAACAAACCATGTTTACGCTATCTCTTGTACGTGGATCCCATTAATCTCGGTCTCTATGGCTCTGTTAATGTGATCAACATGCATTTTTGATATAAGAAGCATTAAACACATGACCTTTTACAGTCAAAATAATATTTTGTTGGCTAGTGTGCCATGCTGAGCAGCTGTTCCCCAATGCTTTCCTCTTGAAATGCTGGAGGGGACTCCTGGGAGCTCCATCATAACATTCTGCCATCTAAATGAAGGGAGTCATGGGATTATTTTTCTGCCTCACATGGAATTTATTCCCATTTTCCAAACTCTGCTAATTCATCCTTGTCAAAAATTACTAATCTCTGGGGCTCATAAAAAGGCTTCTGAAGAGCAAATGTATTTTTATTTTGGTTTTAGATGAGTCAGAGTGCATCAAAAGAGCTTCAAGATGTCAAATTCTACCCTGATGTCAGGGGGAGTTCCTTAGATATCTCTGCAGTTTTGGGGATAAAAATTATCTCCACAGTTTTTGGGATACCATGTATATTTACAGAGCTCTATAAATACCTGTTCAATAAAACGGAGAGAGTACATGATAAGACCGAACAGATAAGGAAACATTCTTTAGCCCTTTACCCCTGCAGGGGCTTTGCCTTCCAAACTGCAATTTCATTTGCTTTCAGTTAACCTTAAAAAAAAAGGGAAGCAGAGTGCAATATTTTCTTCTACTTCCAAAAAACAATCTTAAGCTTGACAGCAAGAAAGCATCCTACACAATTAGATCCGAGTCACCTGCTGCGGCAATTAAGATTGGTTACAACGGAGTTACTAACCATCCTTTGGGATAGACTGGAGAGCCTGGAAAGCAAGGACCTTCTTCCGACCCGCAATTTAACTACTCTCCTCTTCAGTATTTCCCAGCCACTGTCTATAGAGCCCTTACTGACAAAGTTCAATATGCTTTTTTGTCCTTCAGCAATTTAAAGAATGTATTTTCCCTCCTTGCCAGTTCATCAGGCCACGCAGCATGCGTAGGACTATGCCCCCGTGCAGGGGAAGGCAGCCTCCCCATGTCATCATAGCAATATGCATTAGGATGAGGCTCTGATTTACAGAGGAGCTTGGGGTTCTTGAGCCTCCCCCCCCATAAGATTTGAAAGCCATAACCTGGGGGAGTCACTCAGGTGGGCTTGCTCATCAATGACCTATTTAATTTAGTGTTGAACACCGCCCCCCCCGCATCAACATGCAATTCAAACCCTGGTTAGGATTACTCCCAAGGACCAGGATCATTCCTTTCTTTCACTCCCGGCTCCTTCCCAAGGAGCAGAAGCAGGCAGCCCAGCGTTCATTGAAAAGCAAGGGTGGAGGATGTAGCCCTACTGGTCTAAGGACACAGGCAGGCAAGGTTCATTTCAAGCACTGAAATTGCAGGCGCCCACGAGGGGGGTCACAGAAGAGAGAGGCCGGCGGCCCGTCCTTCGCTGACCTATTATATCACAGGGTGAAACACACAGCCCTCGTCTCCCGCAGCGGGATCCGTCCTGCGGGCGCCCAGAGGAGTGGCGCAGAAACAGCCGCCCTTCTCTTAGGCTCGAACCGCAACTGCCCAGTTGGACACTGCCAAACCCCAAGGTGCCCAGGAGGAGCCGCCGAGGGCTCTGCTGAGCCGGCAGCACAGGGACGGGCATCCTCCCCGGCACCAATGGGCGGCCCCACTCTCCCACCACCCCCGGGGCCCCTCCAGCCCCATCTCCCCTCAGCAAGGTGCCCACCCCGCCCTCTCAGAGCGACCGTTATCCTCAACGGCCGCCGCGTTCCACGCGCGCCCCTCCCCCTCCGCGACCGTTCCTCACCTGGCGGGGCTGGGGGAGGGGCTGCGGGCAGGCGGCTGTAGCGCGGGCGCCCCGGGCTCAGGAGCCAGCGCGAGCAGCCGGGCTGAGGCGGC